CATGAATGTGCCTGAATTAAATGACTCAAAACCAAGTATAACCAGGAGGAGTTTACACTAAAACCAGATTTGTGATGCAATTAAATATTTGGCATACTGGAAAAGGGAGATGTTTCCTCTCCGGGAGAACCTCGGTATCCTGCTTTTCCGAGTGCTTTCATGCACAGTCCCAATATTAGAAGAGAAATGTCTTTGATGCTGGAAGCACTTATAATGAAAACTAATAGAAATCCTGAGCCAGAAAACTACTGTGTGGAACATTTGCACCACAAGTCATTTACAGTCTAACAAAAGGCAGTCTGTGGAGGGAAAATGGTTTATATTTAAGCTCTTTTACAATAAAAGACATTTTCCATGCTCAGATAAGCATAAACTGTTGCATATTTTTTTTCTGATTTCCGCTGCAGTCCAGTGGTTATGAAATGTAATTTAGTCTGCAAGTTTGGTCACTAATGCTGGCCTTCTCTGGTAATAAATCCCTAAAAACAACAGAAATGAGACACAAATCCTAAGCTGTTATGAGTTTTAGCTGCAATGGAAACAAAAAATTGATGTAGCATTTTTTGTCATTCAGCAGTTAAGAAAACTGTTTTCGACTTAGAGCTCTGTTTCTGTCGAACTGAAGAATGTACAGTATTCACTTGGTTGGCTGCTAATTGTGTCTGTTTCCTTTTTGCACTGAGCAGGTATATAGCTTTATCAGGGGTCATTTTTGTTCAAATAGCTGCAGACTGAAGCTGAAAACGGGTACAATAAAAGCAGTGAAAGCATAGTGGGAGGTAAAAATGGCAAAAACCAACACATCCTCAGACTGAAACAGCAGAATAGGTTGATTGTCAAGTGTCTACAGAAATAAAATATATGAGTGCTTTCACATTTCCCACAGGAGCAGCACCTGCGAGGAAGTATAAAGACCAATAAAATCTATATCTGGAGATGGAGGATAGGACTGTGGTTTGACTCAGACACAAGACATTTAATCAGATCTAACACTGTGTTTACTGTTTATTTGTTTGCAGGCACTATTTGGTCAAGTTTAGGCCCCTAAACTACTTGGTTGGGTTAACTAGAATTAAATGGTCTAGTAAACAATAACAATTAAATAACCACATCTTAGAAAACAAACTCGTTGCCCCAGATTTTAATGACAGAAGTAGTGACCACTTCTGTGACAAGCCTGAACATTTTACATCCACTTAGTCACACAACCAAGAGCCCCCCCCCACATAAACAGTGGCTGCTGAATGCTTTCAAAAAATGACCACGCTTGTAATTTCTCTGATCAGGTAGAAAACCACCTGCTGCCCATCACTGTGAGGAAATATTATTATATACGGTATGAAAATGTATTTTGTGACTTTATAGAAGCTTCTATTTTATTTCCTTGGCTTTATCTCCCTGTGTGCTTGTGTAAGCCTATCTGTCTGTGTTTGCACCGTATAAAATGTGTCACGACTCCGTGGTAAATCAAAATGGGAGAGACAGACTGCATGGGGGTGTTGGTTCATGGTCTGGAGGAGGCGGGGGTGAGAGTACTTCCCATATAATTGCCTGCTCTGCTTGGCAGTGTCTGCTTTGCGGTGAGCAGTAGCATGTTGGTTCACACACAGCAGACATGGAAATATGCACGTACATATAGACTTTCTCAGCCTCTGTAAAAGCAAAGATCTTTAATATTCTGTAAAACTGCAGTTACGACTGCATGCTGGGAAACATGGAATGAGTGATGTAAGAGTAAAGTATCCATGAGCTGGGCAACTTTTAGGAGCATCTCTTCACTTAACAGGAAGAGGAAATGCATGTTCTCTTCGATAGGTCTCAGCTGAGAGCTAAAAATGCAATGTGTGATGCTCTTTGTTGGATTGAAAACAGGCTGGAACTGAGTTAAGGCTTTAATGGCGGATAAGTGAACCACAGCAACGTGCCTCAACGCAGCATACCAATTCTGATTGCTGTAGTACTGCTGAAGTCTTTTACTCAGGAGAAAATATTCTCCTCCGGATCCTCAGCTTAATGCTATTTTTTTAATGAAACTCTGACCACACAATACCATAAGCCACAGCGGAGAGAGGAGCTGACTCTCAGGAAAACTGAGATAACATGTTATTATACTGCATGAATGCAAAGCTGCCTGACTGGAACAATTGGCTCACTGAAGAGGCAGCAGGTTGCCACACTGACTCCACAACAGCCCCTAATGAGTCCCGTCAACCTCCATGGAAAAAAAACCTCAAAGGGGTCATAATGATGTACTTTCCATGAAAAGCGGGATTTAGCATAATTGCCTCCAAGGCATTAAACATGGTCTTTTAATAAACTGAAGCTGAGGATGGGAGAAAAAGGAGCAGGGGGTGAAAGTAAATTAGAAGAACTGAAGAAGTTAGTGTCAGCCTCAAAGAGAGTGTGGATGTTAGAAAAGAAGGGAGCTGGAAAATGGATTTAACACTTGCCTTTTGTAAGCACAGCAAAGTGGGGGAGTCTTTAAACATCTGTAAAAATGTGCTGAGCAACTTAACAGGCAGAGACAAAGGCAGTCACACCAAAAAAACAACCGCATGGTAAGAGGGGGATGTGCTGACACAGCAAAGGGTGTGCAGCAGGTTCTGCTGAGAGAATATTCTAGATTAGAGGATCGCGCAGACCATAATTACAGCTGCTCAAGTGGACACCAATCCCCAAAAAAGACTAGTCGTGGAAAACTGCCAGTGTAGTGTGTAGCACCAGAAAGAGGCGATGTGACTGCTGTCATGTCTGGATAAACAATAAGAAAAGCTTGGTGGTGC